CACCCTCCCGCCACGGCCTTTGCCGGCACGACCCGACCCGACCAGGAGGCCTTGGCTCAGGCAGAGGCGCGACCCTGATCCCGCCGCGCCATCCCAGCCCGCTGGAGCCCTCTCTCCAGTCAAAGGGGACCTTCAGAAAGGTCCCCGCGCTGACTCCCGGCAGCGCTCTAGCGCCGTTTGGATTTCGAAAACAACCCGGGCTCGGTGCACCAAACTGGAGAAAACCACTCGCGGAACCCTGGGGAGACGCCGGAGAAGAGATGAATGGAGTAGTTGGGGAGAGTGTTGAATGGGGGCCACAGGCCTTCGCACCCGCCCGCTCCCATCCAAACAGCCAAGACCGCATTAAGACCCGAACGGACACGCCCCGGATAGGCCAGGAGCGCACCTGCACCTTCCGGCACCTGCGCGTCCCGGACTCCCAGGATTCATCATCCCCTATGTGCCTGCCCTACTGGAAGACCACCTCACTATAGAACCTAGATTGTGGGGACCAACGGCGAGCTAAGCGGGGGCTTAAACCTAGTCCCCCTCCCGACTAAAACAGATTCCCAGGATGCGTTGTGGGGAGGTGGGCGTAGACAGGTGGTCCCCACTAAACGAAGACAGAGGAGATGAGGACTCGGCCCTGGCCTGAGTGGGGTGAGAGGAGGGGTACGTTAAGATCTCCCACAGACTTGCTGAGAGCACGCTAAGAATGCGAGGGACCGCTCTGGAGAAGTTGCGCGGAGCCAGCGGAGCCTGTGATCGCAAGGCCACAGACGCAGGGGGTTTTGTAGTTGGCGGGCATCTAAGGAGCCAAGAACAGTCAGTTCCACCTAGGGCCTGGCCTTCCAGAGGGGCGGAAATTCGGGTTGGCTCACGCCATCTTCCGCTTTTCCACCTTTCAGGAAGGGGTGAAAAAAAACCTAAGGTAGGCCCCAGCGAGATTTGAACTCGCGACCCCTGGTTTACAAGACCAGTGCTCTAACCCCTGAGCTATGGAGCCAACCACGGTCTTCCTTCCTGCGCAAGAACAGTTGAAACCGCCACCGTCCGCCGCGCAGCCGCAAAGAATCGCAGGGAGGAGCTAAGCAATGAGAGGCGGGCCGGAGCCTTTCGGCCGAAGAGGACATAATCTCGCCGCCGCTGTCTCACCAGCGACGTTAGTAAGTGTCAGTGCCGGCAGGCCAGGCCGCAAATCCTGAGAGAAAGCCCCGCAGAGAGACAGCAGACGGTGCGCTCCGCCGGGCTGTGAGGGATAGGGCGAGGGCGTGACGCTACGCAGGCAGGGGCGGGGCCTTCGGTGGGCGGAGCTTAGGAGGGCCCGGGGTCTTCCGGGGGCTTAGGGGTCAGGGCAAAGACCCGTTCGTTGGCTAGAGAGGTCGAAGGCTTTTTGTGTCTGAGAATGAGGATCCGAGGTCAGGGCTGCGAGGGAGGAGTTAGGGGAAGGGTGTCAATAGACCTGTCCTGAAGGAATCCAGGTACAGGCTGGTAAGGTGGGCTGTCAGTGGGCAGTAAGAGATCTGGGGGGAGGGGCGGAGAGAAGGTGTTGGAGAAATCAGAAGGTCGAGGCGTGAGGAGGTGCTGGGCAGAGAAGGACTGGGTCAGGGCTGGGGGTCCCTAGCCCCTGCCGCCCCTTTAGGCAGGTTAGGAAAAGGCAAACCTTGGGGCTCACCTTAACTCTTGTGGAACTGGTTCCCTAAGAGCCCCTAAAAGCCCAGGGGATAAGGGGCATGGAGAAGGTGAGGGACAGGAGCCCTACCCTGCAACGATGAGAAACTGGCGGGCTGTCCAAGATATGGAAGTTGCCCAGTGCCCATCATTGACGAATGGATAAAGCAGTGGTATATATACACAATGGAATGCTATTCAGCCATAAAAAAGAATGAACTCTTGCCATTTGCAAGGACCAGATGGAGCTAGAGAGTATAATGCTAAAGGACATAAGTGAGAAAGATAAATACCATATGATTTCACTCATGCGGAATTTAAGAAACAAAACAAATGAGCAAAGGGAAAAAATGAAAGAGAGAGAGACAAATCAAGAAATAGACTCTGAACTATAGAGAACAAACTGATGGTTATCAGAGGCAAGGGGGTGGGAAGAGGAGTTAAATAGGGGATGGGGATTAAGGAGTATACCTGTCATGATGAGCACAGGGTGATGTACAGAAGTGTTGAATTACTATATTGTACACCTGAAACTAATAAAACACTGTATGCTAACTAACTGGAATTAAAATAAAGCCTTAGATAAAACTTAAAAAAAGAAAGTGGTGGACCTTGACCTGGTGACCCAACCTGCCCCATGGTCCCTGCAAGACCAGGTGACTTGGGCCGGTGGGTACCCTCCAGTCTGCATGCTGAGGGGCCATGTGAGGGTCTGTTGTCAGGGAAATGGCTCATCAACTCAAGGATCTGGGACTCATGGGTGGGATCAGAAGGAACCAAGTTAAGCCAGTCATTGCTTTCAGAGACCCAAACATCTCACAGATCTTAGGATGCCCAGAGTATGGGAGAGAAAAATGCACACAGTCACACATACTCTCACACCAGCATTGTGACATCCAAAGTCACTATACTGTCCTAGTGACCAAAAGAGAACATCTCTTACCCTCAGTGTGTGATTGTTACTGTAACTGTTGTGATATTTCTTCAGATACATAGATGTCTATGTAGTTATCTGCAAACACACATACTCTGGTAGACACACAATCACATTCACAACATAAAAGCTGAAAATATACACACAGACAGCCACCCCTGCAGTCCCCAGACCTGGCCCTACGGGCACCTCCACCAGACACCCCCCTTCTGTGACCTGTAATATGTGTTGCAGTCCCCCAGCACAGTTGTTACGTGACTTTAACTGTGATACTCAGTCCAAAACCCATACAAGCCCAGATACCATTAGGGCTTGATGATAACATTAGCCAATTTAATTAGCAAGTGAATATTAAAAATGGGTTTTCCTTGTGGAAATTAGTGGTATTCAAATACATGCATTGGCTACAATGTTCTAAAGCTACTCTCCGTGTGTGAACACCACATAGGATTCACCCTCTGGAATGATACAATGATATTGTATGCTGGACTCCTTTTTTTTTAAGATTTATTTATTTATTGGAGAGAGAGAGAGAGCATGAGCTGGTGGCGGGGTGGGGGGGAGTTGTGCAGATGGAGAGGGAGAGAGAGAATCTTAAGCAGGCTCCATGCCCACCACAGAGCCCCACAAGGGGCTCGATCTCACCACTGGAGATCATGACCTGAGCTGAAATCAAGAGCCACATGCTTAACTGACTAAGCCACCCCTGTAGGCTGGACTCTTATATGATCCTAGCCCCAGCCCATAAGCCACTGGATTCTGATTACCTGGTGCTATGTCCACTGGGTCTGCCTCTAGAACAGTATCATGCCTGCCCTGTAAGACCCTTGTATGCAAAGTGTGCTTGAAGCATCTCAGGGATAGAGCACAGAAACTCCATGACACTTGCAGACCAGACTATTCAATTATCACTACCCCTACATGCCAACATACCTGTCTAAACCTATGCAGGACAGAAGACATCTGAGACTGGCTTTCATCTAGCCAGGTAGCCAGGTAGTGGGGGAGGAAACCTATGGCCCTGACCTAAATATGGGGTAGCTAATATTTAGCAACAAATGAAAAATAAGGTATTACCAAATTGACCTAGGTCGATTTGCAATACCTAAGCCCTATGCACATGCTGATAAATGCCCTTTCCAAAACCCACACGCACCCCTACCCCCCTCAATCTGAGATATAAACACATGTGCACACATTCCTCACACACTTAAACACAATTGCTCACCCAGTCTAGCAGAAACCTTTGCTCCTACTGTGCTCTTGCACTCAGTCTGGGGGAGTCAAGAATGAGCTAAGCCACCCTAGAAATGAGGTCAGTCTATTTCCTTCTCCTCATCCCCTTTCCCTGGGGAGCATTAAGCACGGAACAGCCCAACACCCCCTCCCAGAAACCCACCCAAACAGAAGCTGGGGAACAATTAGCCAAGGGATAACACCCCACCAGGGCACAGGCTGAGCAGACCTTGGCACCAGGCTGCTGTTGGCGTACACTTGGCAAGTTCCAGAAAGGGTATATCAGAGGCATCCCATGTGCTGTCCCACGCTGATGTTAGTTACATCCATAAAATTATAAGTGCTGTTTTGTGTTTGAAAATTCCATAACCTTTGGTCTCCTTACTCAAGGGAGACTATGCTTTGGCATTTGGAAGGGGTTTAGGCATCTGTGAGCACACATGGCTGTCACTGTGGCTGAGAAAGTATATATCACTCTGTATCATCAGGTTGAGGGGTACTGGAAAGTAGCCATGCCCTGGGCTTTCTGCTCACGTACAGGTCAAGAATCTCCTTCCAGTTCTGGCCCAGGCTGTTCTCTGAGCTGGGAGTACAGCGCTCCTTCCTGAGTAGAGACCTCAGGCCAGCTGGATCCAGGTGTCTGAAGGCAGAGCTGACAGCTGACAAGAAGGGAAAGCAGAAGTGATCGTGAACCTGGATGTTTGGGCCTGAACCTGCCCCATGCACTGAGGACAGCACTGGGTTTGGTGTTGCTCCACAGAACCAGAGGCCCTGCAAGCCCAGGCAGGAAACCCCAGTGATGGGAAGTACCTCTGTGCGTAGCTTGGCTGGCGTCCTCACCTACCTGCACTTCCTTACAGCTCAGGCCAGATCCACCTGCCCACAACAGGCAGAGGACTGGCCCCAGGGGTCCAAGGCATCTCCCCCTGCTCAGTTGACCGCAGAACCCTTTTCCACAATCGCCCATTCTGCTGGCTCTAATGTTGTGGCCTGCAGGAGCCCCTCTAAGGCAGCCCAGGCCGAGTCTGGGTGGGGGACGGGGAGGCGGTGGGGGGGCAGGCCCAAAGTAATCAGGAGGCTCCGACAGAGGGCACCACTGCTTCCCGCGGGCAGCCCCCGGACAAGGAGGAATGCCCCCTTGACTGACTCACCCTCTCTGAGAAGCCGCGGAGGCCTTTCAAGGCCAGATTCGCAAGTAGGTGCCGGTGGAGCAGACGGAGAAAAGCGGGAACACGCGCTCGTGGAAATTGACGCGGAAGGTGTAGAGGTGGCGCATGTCCTCCGCGGCGTAGAAGGACACGGCGCCCACCTCCAGATCCAGGGCCACCCGCACGCGGGACAGGTGGCCACAGCTGAGGGGCGTCCGTTCGGGGCTAGTCACCGCCCAGTACTTGCCGCTGTTGAGCTGCAGCGCCCAGACGCCCTCCTCAGGGGTAAAGGGCGTGAGGCCCTTGCGGCGCACGCTCTCGCGCGCCACGCCAAAGGCCCAGCCGTCCTTGGAGCCCACTTCCACCTCCCAGTGGTGCCGCCCCGAGGAGAAGCCGCTGGACGCCAGGACCCGCGTGTTGGTATCAAAGCGGCGTGGGTGGCAGGGCAAGTCCTGGGCCCGCTGTCCGAGGCGCACGCTCTTCAGATCCAGGGAGAGGATGAGGCGGGGGTTGGCGGTGTCCGGGTCCAGGGTCAGCTCCACTGAAGGCAGACAGGGACAGACGTCCCATGCAAGCCCCTTGCTCACCTTTCACCGGTTACTTCTCCATCACCATCCCCCCACAAAGTACGTGGGAAAGTCAGATGGAATGTAAGAACCTAATTTGGATCAGATCCACAAATCCAATTTAAAAGACATGGGGGAATTTTGAACACTAGATATGAGAAGGAACCGTTACTTTTTCTAATTGTGACTATGGTTTTGTGGTTATGTGGGTTTTTTTTAAGTCTATCTTTAGAGATAACATACTAATATTTATGGAAAGGACTTGTGATTTGCTTCCAGTGGGAAAAAGGGGGTAAGGGTGTTCAAGAAAAGTATTAGCTGAAGGTGTGTGATGAGAACATAATATGCATTATGATCGTCTCTTTACTTTTGTGTATATTCACAATTTTCATAATAAAAACTTAAAATATGCACACTTGTCCTAAGTACTATCTTCCAGGACTGTTGTGGGCCCCGGGAATCCCACAGTTCAGTATCCCTGTCCTCCTGCAGCTTCCTTTCTCAGGGGAAGGGAGGGAGAAACAAGAAAAGATAAACACGGATGGTAAGAGGAATCAGGAGAGAAGGCTATAATCTCAACCAGACTGGCCAGCGAAGGTGAAAAGGCCTCACTGTGCAATTCAGCAAAGACATAGAGGAAGTGAGGAAGCCAGATACGCAGCTGTCTGGAGGATGCATATACCAGGCTGAGGCCCAGCTAATGAAGTGCAAATGTCCTGAGGTACATGTGTGCTTGGTGCATCCCAAGAGCGGCAAGGAGGGCTTGTTGTGTCTGCACAGAGTAAGCCAGGGGGAGAGTGTGCAGTGAGGCCAGATCCCTAAGCCTGGAGGACCACACTGAGGACTATGTGGAGTGAGAGAGGCTGTCCCAGGGTTCTGAGCAGAGGAAGAGCATGATCTGACTCAGCTAGTGTAGATTGTTCCAAGGTAAATTCTGACTTAGCTTTTTTAGTCACCAGCATCAGCAATATGTGCCCTCCCCTCCCCTGCCCTCCTGTGGGGTTGGATCCCATTCACCCCAGAGCTCTGCAGTAATAAGAACTACCTCCCTTTCTCTCTTCAATCTCCTCCTGCTTTCCCTGACCCCTGCACATAACCCCTGTCCCCAGCAGAGGTGTCTGTCTGGGAGTGGGGAGAGGGGAGAGAGACTCGTCCAGGTGAGTGACCCACAATTTATAGGCCTACAGGTCCCACTGAAGCCTGAGGGAGCCAGAATTGGGAGGCAAGGATGAGGAAGCAGACAGCAGAAGGCAGAGGTAGGCAGGATTCTTTACATGGCCAAATAATGGGAACTCACTATCACAACAACCATCATACCTTTCTCCTCTTTCTCGAGCTCTCCCCGAAGATCCTCTGAGGAGGAGAAACAAAGCAGTGTATGTGTAAATAACTCAGAAGAATGTCTATCTGACAATTACAGTGATACCAAAAGATACCACCTCCTCTGACATTTATAGCCCCACTGGCTCACTCACTCCCCAGACACCCCAGAGGCTGAGAGTTGATGTACAGACTCTGGGTCAAGTGTGGGGGGTGGGGAAGGGGCAGTATCCTAGTTCTACTTCTCCAGCTTCCCCCTCTTTTGCCTGAGCTGGTCTGAGCTGAGCTCTTTTTCCTCATCCCTCTTTTTGTTAATACCCCTCTACCCTGACTGTGCCCTGGGGGAATCTTTGTGCTGGGGACGTGGTGGTGGAGGGGGAAACTGTTGCTGAATGGATTTGCTACTACCATCTCCCTGCACCAATCTGGCCTTGACACACCCTAGCTCCTACTTTCTCACATAGCTTTTGGAAAGGCACATCCTTGGGACCCCAAACTACCAGAAACACACCATGCCCACCAGCACTGCATGGCCCAGCGCAAAGCACAGGCCCCTACCTTTGAACTTCTTGAGCAGCCCCTTTAAGACAAAGGTCTTGAGGGAAACATTCCAGACTTTATTCTTCATCTCAGAAGAGACTGTGGTTGGCTTGGGGCCAGGCACATTGCTGCATCTGCAGGACAAAGACCCTGAGGAAGGCCCACAAACACTATCCTATTCCCAGTGGGCTGAGGCAATTAGGATGGCAAGGTTCTCTTGGTGGGGAGAGGTGAAGAAAGGAGAATCTGATCTTGCACCAGAATATCCACAGCCAGGCAGGTGGACATTTGCCTTAGATGGTACAGAGGTAAGGCAGTGTGTGAATTGGGAGATGAGAGGTCAGGGGTAAGGGGATGAAGAGAGAGAGCTCAGTGGAAAAGGAGAAGAGCCAGCTTGGAGAGGCCTAAGGAACCCTTAGGTCCACTCACCTGCTTAGGGTGTTTTTGAATTCCTGGAAAGCAAGATGAAAGAAAACCAACTCAGCATCAGGTAACCTCCAGTCACCTTTGACAAAATAAAACTGGCAATAAGGTGTACCATGCCCTACCACCTGCATGGGCCCAGATGGCAATGGCTTTCTGCTGTGCCTGATTACTGGGTGTCTCATCACCTCCCTTCCCACAGCTTTGCAAATGTTCCCTTCATTACAGAATCACCGCTGGAGCCATGTGCTGGGATCCAGAGCTGCCTCTGCTCTCGACACCATCCCAGATAAGTCACAGCCCTTAGGCAATGACTGGTCACTCAGACCAGCCTCTTTTAAATGACTATGCTTGACCCATTTGTGACTTGTGAAGTTTATTTGTGGATTGTGACTATTTCCAAAGGAAATAGAGTAGAAAATGTCAAAATGCATCACATGTACTAAAGATAAGTATTATTTTCTGAGACTTTTGTCACAAGGCTTAGATACACCTTGTATATAGCTCTTTGGAACTCCTTTCTGTCTGCTAGATTAGATACTGCCCAATTCATGAATCCTTGAGTAAAGCCAGTAAGATCTTTATTGTGGCTCGAGGTCAAGAAAGTTTTACCACATCTTTTCATGCCTTTAACCCCAGGGGAATCCGTGCAGTTTTCTCCATTTGCCTCCTGCTCAAGTATGCAATTCTAACTAAACTCACAGAATCTGACTCTGTTCTCACTTGCCATTTGTAGTGCCTTAGGATAAATGATTCATACCTCTGGCCAATCCAGACTCACCTGGAGAAAGTCAAGGTCAGGCTTTCGAGTTGTCTCCTGGATCTGGCTGCTGAGCTTGGAGAGCTGGGTGATCTCACCCCCAAGCTGAGCTATGTTCTCATTCTGCTTCTGTGTCACCTCCCGGGACAGCTCCTCCAGACGGCCCAAGAGCCGGCCCTCCTGCTCCACCAGGAAGGCCCGCAGTGCCTGAAACTCTGCACCTACCTTCTCTCGCTCAGCTGCCATCTGCTTCTGTCTCAGGAGAGGAGAATTTGGAGAGGCAATGGGACATCAAGATGTAGCATTTGGGTAGTAGCCTCTGAGCCATCCCATGGGACAGAATTCCATCCACCTCACTGTTCAGGGGTCAGAGGCTCACCTACACATACCCGCCACATACGTCCTTTAGTTTAAATATCCCAACTCTGAGCACACAGCAGCTTCAACACATGCTGTCGAGTCCCCTGTCACAAATGTGCTCTCCCACCAACCTAGGGCAACTTCAAACTTGCCCCAGAACCACCCCGGGCTATAGCTGCCTCATTTGAAAAGTAGGAAGAATAAATTAGTGCCTCCCAGAGCCACTGTAAGGATTAAACTGAGGTCACATTCTCCCCACCCCCAAAAACATTTATTTCGAGTTAAAAACAAGACAACAGGCCCAAAATGGAGTCACCCATGCTAAGTCTCACCTCAGGAAACAGAGACTTAATTACAGTTTCAGTTTTCCCAGAAATAGAATTTTAAACCAATCAGGAATCACCTGAGCAGTACTAGTTAAGTAACTGCCTGATAAACCCCTACACTCCCCAAGAGGGAAAGTAACTTTGTAATAACCAATCTGCTTTTTGGCCTAGTATAAATTCCTGGTTCCTGCTCCCTTCTGCTTATAAAATCTTTTGCCTTGTATAGCTTTTCAGAGTTTTTTTTTTGTCAGAGAGAGAGAGGGCATGCACTAGCAGGGGGAGCGGCAGGCAGAGAAGCAGGCTGCCCAACATGGGCTCAATCCCAGGACCCTGGGATCATGACCTGAGCTGAAGGCAGGCACTTAGCCGACTGAGCCACCCAGGCATCCCTTCAGAGTTGTTTTCTACCTGCTAGATGGGATGCTGCCCAAATCATGAATCCCTGAATAAAGCCAGTAATATCTGCAAATTTTACTCAGCTAAATGTTCTCCTTTAACATTTGTCATCCCTCCAGTTTTCACTCTTCACTTTACTTCTTTTTAAAGAATGCACACACAGGGCCAGGGTGGTGGGTGGTCCTCTGTTGTCACTCAAAGAGGGCCCACCGGGAGGGTGCCCAGCTCACCAGGAGCTCCTTGCTCTCCTTCTCTTCAGTGGAACGAAACACCTCATAGTCCTCCAGATCCTTCTTCAGGACCTTCAACCTGGACTCCAGGAGCTCCTGCAGGAAGGTGAGAAGGAAGACATTATGGGACAAGGACTCTGGAAACCCCAACTTGTGCCTTCCTGGAGCCATCCAGGACAAAGAGAAGACCCTCTTCATTGAAGAGGAGGAGGCAGGGTTGAAGCCATGTCTGGACATGGGGATGGCTACAACCTGCACAGACGCACATAGCAGAGTAGGGCAACTGACCCGTGACTCCTAAGGTCCCAAGGTCTCATTTCCCCAAGACCATCTGTACATAATCCAAGCTGAAATGCAGGCCCTGTAGGAGCCCAACCTAACCTACCTAGTCTTCCCCTCTGCTTTTCTCCTCACCATCAGAAAGCCGTCTGGGAGGGAGGGCTGGAGTGGTATAAGGAGTAAAGAAAGACTGGGGACTGTGTGCCTGAAGCCTCTGAGGACACCCCAGAAAGGAGGCAGGGAAGAGACTGCCCCAGATCCATATCTTTGACACAGCCCAAGACAGCTTTTGGTGCTCTGCTCAACCCAGGAGTCACCCACTGCCTTACCCCAACCTCTTGGGAAGGTCGTCCCACTGGGCCCCAGGATGCAAGGACGTAGCAGAGCGCCACGCCCGGGGAAAGTGCTGAGAGTGAGGGCAGAGGAAGTGTGGGTGTGACGGAGACACTGCCAGAAGCCAGGGACAGACAGAAAATCGCGAAGTCCGTGGAGGTATCGCGAAAGCGGTCCAGTAGGGAGCCCAGAGGGCAACTCGAGGTGGGTGGGAGGGTGTTATTAGTGGTGTGGCAGTGACACAGCGAGAGCCGCACTCAGGCCCAGAGCCAGTGCTGGGTAGCATGGCAAAGGAAAAAAGAGGCAGGGTCTCACCTGGGCCTCCTGCCTGCCTGCCAGCCGCCTGCACTGCGTGCGCGGGAAGACAGAACCCGAGCTGGGTCCTGGGGATCTGCACTGGGGCGGGGGCGGGGGGAGCTCACCTTAGCTTCCTGCACAGCCTCGTCAAGCGGCAACACTGCGTGCGCGCGATGTTCGCGGGCGCGGTCGCACACCACGCAAATGGCGCGTCCGTCGTCTTGGCAGTAGAGCTTGAGCGGTTCGCCATGCTGGACGCACCCAGCCAGCGCCGCCTCCATGGGCTGACGCTCCCCTGGCGCGGCCGCAGGTAGACCGAAGCGCCGCAGCAGCGTGGCCACCGAGGCCAGCTGCCGGTTGGGCCGCAACTGGCCGGGACGCACGGGCTCTCGGCACTGTGGGCAGGGCAGCGGGCCGGGCAGCGCGCGGCACGCCGCGGGGCCTCCCACGCCGGGGCGCTCCCAGCAGCGCGCGATACAGGAGCGGCAGAAACTGTGACCGCACTCGACGGACACTGGCTCGCGGAAGAGCTCCAGGCATATAGAGCATGTGGTCTCGCCCTGCAGCTCTGCGGCCAGTGCCAGCGCCTCGGCCCCGGCGCGGGGGTCTGCCCGCGGCCCCACCGCCGCCATGCGCTCTCTCAGCGCACCTAAGTCGGGCGGTGCTGGGGAAGTCGAGGGGCTCGACAGTACGCGGCTCGGAGCGGTGAGGCCCGATCCGGCCTCCGAGCACCCACGGGGGAGGAAGGGCGGGGCTGAAGCCGGGCTGGCGGAGACTTGAGCTGAGAGCTTGCTGGGCCGGGAAACGAGACGGGAGTGAGCGCGTTGTGGGCGGGCCAGACCTCACTACTCGATCGGATCCAAGTGCGGGCCAGCGCCATGCGCCCCCGGCTCTGGGCCGCTCAAACACTGGTTTGGTCTGCGGCCTCCTTGGTCCCCTGGCGCCCCCTCTCCGTCACGCCCCCCCCACCTCGCCCAGCCCCTCCGCAAGCTTCTCTAGGCCACCCCCAGCCTGACCCAGTCAGCCGTGGGAAACGGGCCTGGATAAGTGGGCGCACACACCCAGCTGGGTGCCACTCCACTCCTTGGCCGGGCCAAGGGCCTAGCGCCCAGGCTACAGTGTCAGGTTCCCGGAGGGCAGGTTGGTCCTGGCCCGGTGCTGAGCTAAATTTAGTGTCTGTAACGTGGCTCTTGCCCCCACTCCCAAGCGTGGTTTGTATCCACTTCGGCGGCTACTTTTCCCACCGTTGTTCTGCCCCTTGTTTATTCTTTCTTTAATTTTTGGCTTTGAACAAATAATACATTTACAATAAATTTTCCCACTTTAATCTCCACCAAAATAACCCAACCCTCTAATGTCCCCCCAGAACTTCCAGGAATATTTGCTTCCACCGCCATTCCTCATTCCCAAAGGGCACTCAGGGCAGGCTTTAGACACCACCCTCCTCAGAAACCACTCTTATCAAGGTCACCAGTGACCTCAGCGATTCCAACCCAAAGGCAAAGGCTCCTTCTCAGGCTTCACCTCACCTGCCCTTTCCTCTGATGCTTCCTCCTTGCTGGTACTCTTGCCCGGCGCGTTCCAGGATGCTGTAGTCCCTGGCTCTCCTACTTTTTTCTTGGCCTCCCCTGTGGTTTCCTCCTCCTCTTCCTGTACTTGCTCAGTTCTTGGACCTCTGTCTATACTCACTCCTGATCTTTTCCACTTTCTTGGCTTGAAAGACCCTCTTGTTGCTGGTGCCACAGTACATATCCCCACCCAGTATCCCCAGCTATGCCTGGCTCCCACATCCAACTCCCAGTACCATGTTCTACAGGATCTCACACACTCACCATATCCACAACTGTACTTCTAATCTGCCCCTCCACCTGTTCCTTCCAGAGCCTTCCCCACCCCACCCCATTTAACAGCAACCCCATCCCTCCAGGTGCTCAGGCCAAACTGGGGAGTCCTCTGTGACTCCCAAGAGGAAAGAGTTTCACACATTCCACCATCAGTCCCCTGTGTGTCTTCACTCTCTCACGCCCTCCACTGCACCACCTCCAGTGATCTCAGGATCACAACAGTTCTCTCCCCTTCTGTCACACTGCCCTACCCTGGCTTCTCCACCCAGGTGTGAGAACAGTCCTGTTGACATGTTGAGTCAGATCAATTTTAAGTTCTCCTCTGCTCAAACCCTCCATTGGCTCCCGCTGCTCAAAGTAAAAGTTGAAGTCTTTATAATCCTCCAAAGGCCCTACCTACCTATCCTTTGACCTCATCCCCTGCGCCCAGCCTCTCTACCCGCATCTCCTATCCCTCTTCCCTGTTGACTCCTGTCTTGCCACAGGGACCTCCATATTCCTGCAACATGCCAGCAAGAGCCTATTTCAGGGCCTTTGAACCAACTTTTACCTTTACTTGGACCTCTCTTTTCCCATACTTGCATGGCTTACTTCCCACCTCCTTCAAGTCTTGTTCCAAATGTCACCGTCTCAGTGAAACTTGCCAGGACAACACTGTTTAAAATCACCTCTTACCACACTCTGTCCTTCAAGCTGTCTCTATTTTCTAACACTTTACCTCCTCTGGAATTTGAGCTGTTAGAGGAGATGACTGTGTCAGTTTTGTTCGTGGCGGGACCCCCAGATTTCTAGAGCAGTTCTTGTTGCACAGGAAGCGATGGGTAAACTTTTCTTGGATTGAACTGATTTAAACGTGGTTCAAAATTCAGATATGCAGAGTGGTTCGCAGCGAAAAATGTGCCTCTCGTCTACGCTCTAGTCTCCTCCCCATCCCAAGCGATCAACTTAGCAATTCAGAATTATTTTATACAAATATCATACAGTTAGCTACACTCCCCTTCTTCTTGTTTAACAAACGTAGCAGCCTGCGCACAGTCTTCCTTACTTTCCTTTTTCGGCTCACAGTTCATTTGGGGGCATCGTGCCTGATGATTTCTCCTACGTTTTCCACTGCTGCCTTCAGGGGTTTATTCCGGCCCTGTTCTCCCCGCCAGTGTCCCTCAGTGGAGATTCGCTCGCCTGGAGTCGGTAGAGGACTCAACCACTAGTGGCTCTGGCGCTGCCGGACCGGCTTTACAAGCATCTGGCTATTTGCGGCTCACTCCACCCCCCCTTACTAATAAGTGGCCAAGAGAATGTTCAGAAAACCCTGGAGCGGAGTGGGGATGTAGCTCAGTGGTAGAGCGCATGCTTTGCATGTATGAGGCCCCGGGTTCGATCCCCGGCATCTCCAAGACGGCCTTGTGTCTTCCTTTCTTTTTTTCCTTTACTAAGTTTTCAAACGCGCAGAGCCCTGGGGGAAAATCCCGTATTTTGGAGTTTGCCCAGATCGGAAGGGGCAGTGGCGGGACTCACCCACTCCAATGCCCAGACCCTACCTCTAAACTCGTGATTAAAATACCACAAGGTGAGCGTGCCAGTGGCATTAGGATGCTCATGTTTTCCCTCCTTTGTGCCCTGCACTTTCCGGGAATGGAAAAAGGTTAGGTAGCTGGCAAAGCAGAGCAAGCAGAAAACAGACCGAGGTGGGAGGGGCGGTCAGGCATGATCTGCGGAGTTTGAGTTTCTGGGTCTGCCAGGTGGCTGGATGTTGCAAAGAAACCCATTTCTGAATTTGGAGCGGCATATAGTCTGAATGCTACCTTGAAGTAAGAAATATTGGAAAGCTTCTGGTGGACGCCCGGCTAGCTCAGTCGGTAGAGCATGAGACTCTTAATCTCAGGGTCGTGGGTTCGAGCCCCACGTTGGGCGTGTAGGGTTCGCTTTTGTTCTTCATCCTCAATTAAGAACAATTGGTTCATTCCATAACTCCCTCTGGGACAAATAAAGAAATTCTTCTTTGGAAATTTCTTGTGTGCGGTATTCAGGTGGGCGTTTTTGTGGCTATGCCTTTGTTCGTTGATTAATTTATGATTTACTGCTAACGAAATGAATCCTATATAAATATATGTAAGTTATTAGTTTTAAAAAAATTTTGTTAAAATATGCATAATAAAACTTACTGTTTCAATAATTTTTACATGTACAGTTCTGTAGCTTTTCACACATTCACACAGTTGTGCAGCCATCACCACCATCCATTTCCACAACTTTTTCATCTTCCCCAACTGCAAATCCCCCCAGGAAATACTAACTCCCCATTCTGTCCTTCCTCCAGCCCCTTGCAACCACCATTCTACTATCTCTATGACTACTCTCCATTATATATATATAGACACGCTACATTTTTTTTAACCCTTCATCTGTCTATAAACACTTGGCTGGGTTCCTTCCACCTTTTTGGCTTCTGTGAATAATGCGGCTACTAGCATGGGTGTGCAAATATCTGTTCGAGTTCCTGTTTTCACCTCTGTTGAGGCTATACCTAGAAGTGGAATTGCAGAACATATGGTATTTCTTTTTTTTCTTATGTTTCTTTCTAATTTTAATTCCGGTGTAACGTATGGTATTTTTATGTTTAATTTTTTGAAGAATCACCATAGCATTTTCCACAGAGTTCCACAAAATGAGTTTTTAAAACATCTTTTGAGTAGATTATACACCGTACTGTTCAAAAATTGAATCATACATAAAAATATCCAGTGAAAACCAACTGTCATCTTCCCTCCTTAGGTAACAACTTTTGTACCTGTGTATATATTCTTGCAGTTATATATCTTTTGATGCAAATATATTTCTATTTTCCTCTATTTTATACAAAAAGATAATTACAATTCTTATATTTGAAGATCTTTCCATCTCACAGATGCAGGAAATTTTCTAAATCTTTTTTTTTTTTTTTGCAGCTGCATAATATTCACCTGTAGATGAATCATAGTTTATTTAACCGATCACCTACTGATGGACCTTTATATTGTTTCCAATCTCTTGTTATTATAATCAATTCTGCAGTTAATAAGTATGTAGTGTTGTTATTTTGCACTCATATCTGTGGGGCAAATTTCTAGAAGTGAGATTGCTGCATCAAAGTTTATATGTGATTGAAGCTTTATGGAAATAGACAAATCACTCACTGGACTGTAGATCTTACAGGCTGATTGATATTCCTTCCTACCAGCCATGAATCAGATTGCCTTTTTCTCCACTGCTTTGGTGGCAATGGGCTACTTAAACAAACCTGACATGACTCCACCCCCCCCCTTAAAATTCCCTAACTGCCTGTCCTACAAGATAAGATGATATCCATTGCAGGGCCTACAACGCACTGCCTGACAGGAAGAGGGACCTTCCTTCTGCCCTTCACAGGAACATGAGCAAAAGATTCTGAAGATCACAGTGTCACTCTTATTTATGGCTTCTAATCCAATTCTATAGGACAACATTATTTTTTCTTTTTCAGGCTTGTTTCTGTGAAGGCTATCGTGTTTTCTTCATTTGCAAAGCCATGACATTATTGGAAAGGCCTACTCAGTTATTTCTTATTCTGTGAATTTTTTCCCTTTGACAGAAAGAATCCAACCAAATATAAGAAATTAAATTTGTATGTGATTTTCTACTTGGTCTTGATGTCATATGGGGCATATTTAAATTATTAGATCATGCATGTGGCTTGTGGTTTATGATAATTATATATAATTTACATATAAATTATCAACCATCCACTTGAATATTTTCATTTAAAACCTCATTTGAAACAGAAAATTATCTCCAGGTTTAAGATATTTTTGGCTATTTTCTAACTAGTCTAAAAATACTCCTATATCAGCTCTTTCTTTAATGATCAGTGGTTTCCCTTTACTAGAGTTGGCAAAGTCATTCTCCTAGGGTCTGTGTAGCATTAGGAGAAATGGTTCAACCATCATCATATGCTACCCTGTTATTTCATTGCTGTTCATATTATATCACATTTGTTTAAGGGCACAAAGTCCCCTAAATAAAATGCCCTCAGTCACATGCTGATGTCCTGGGGAATATAAATTTGGGGCAAATAGAAAGACAAAATGTCAACCAGAGCAACCTAATTTGGGAGGACTGCATGCTAAAGGAAGAGTGGCCAAATAGATGACCCAGAATGACCTGCTCTTCCATTCTGTGTCAGGACCAACTGGATTAAAATCACTGGATATTTTGGGAAACTCTGTCTGTTGTCATTTGAGATGTTTAATGTCTAAGGACTAGGGAAGGTTTTTTAACATGGAAAAGAATACAAACTTGTGTGATTAATATTCAATTTATCTATTTGTAAATATTAAAGCCTAGTTTTTCTCAAGGTTTGAAATTCAACTTACAGATATTGTTGTTTTTCTTATCAAACTAGCAATTTCTGGAACAGGAACAATAACTAGTTCCTTTAACTAGTTCCTTCACTAGTTCCTCCATGAATTATGGTTATCGAAAGGCATCATTCTGAACATCTGAGCCACTGGTGATATTTTCTCTTAGACATTCCAGATGACAATTATGGACTTATCTGTCTGAACCCTCACTGAGTGTGGAGGAGAGGGGGGTACTGATTAGGTCACAGCTGGAGTACAGAGCCGGTACCTGAAACTCTGTTGCTGCTGTGGTCTCCCTCCTTTAACCACCAACTCATAGCAGTTAGAAACACCAGGTGTATTGTCTGTTTGCAATCTTCTGAATGAGCCTATGTGTTCATTCAGCTGTCCTTAAAAACTCCACCTTGAGGTCCTACTGTAGTTCTCATTAGTCCGGGAGTCCTCTAAGACTACAGATCTGGTGTCCTCCATACATTTTTCTATCCACTTTTAAACAAGAACAGCAACTGGTGTAGATGGAGTCATCAGAATGCAAAGCCGAGGAGATATGGCTGTGGCTCCTTATCCTCCAAGTTCCCGGTCTTCCTTTCCTCCTTGAACCCATCAAGCACACTCTTAATTCAAAGCCTTCAAACCCTCTGCTCCCTCTCCCAAAGTCCTCTTCCCTAGATCTTTGAAAGGCTGGCTTCTTTTTATTTTCCTACGCTCATTGTCACCTCTTCTGACACATCTTTCTTAGCCCTTCTCTGTTTGCTTGCCATTCTATCAGATCTCCCTCATTAATTTTCTCACAGTCCTTATCACCCTCTGAGATAGAGCCAGTGGGGTGGGAAATGAAGGGGTTAGAGATAAAATTGGGATTGTGGAAGAGAGAAAATTGAAGCTGGATGACGGGTACTTGGCAAATCTCTACTTCAAATTTCCTCATAAAAAGTTTTTTTTTAATAAAGCAAAAGGGAATGAGTGAGAGATTAAAAAATTAGGTAGATAATTTTGTACAGTAACAATGTTGAGGCCTACTTGAAAAAAATGTAAAGATCTAGCAAGAGCTACAATTAAATAGAACCCTCAGTCTTACCTCATGTCCTTAAAACTATTTTCCTAGGGTTTTCGGAAGAGGGGGAGCCAGAGACCTTGGGCTCCATGCACTGTCCTGGCACTTAGATTTGGCTTTTTCTTTTACTCTTCACTGAAAAAAAAAAAAAAATGGGGGCGCCTGGGTGGCTCAGTCCTTAAGCGTCTACCTTCGGCTCAGGTCATGATCCCAGGGTCCTGGGATCGAGCCCCACATCGGGCTCCCTGCTCGGCGGGAAGCCTGCTTCTCCCTCTCCCACTCCCCCTGCTTGTGTTCCCTCTCTCGCTGTGTCTCTCTCTCTGTCAAATAAATAAATAAAATCTTTAAAAAAAGAAAAGAAAAAAAAATCAAGCTCCCTGTACATTCTCCTGCATCCTTAGGCAAGAAAAATTACAGATGGGTCCAAAGCGTGAGTTGCTGCCAGGAAACAAGGATGCTTTCAAATTTTTGGGGTGATGCTGAAGATAAAGGAGCCAATGTGAAGGGGCTCCCACTGACAAGCAGCTACAATTTAAGCATCAGTAAGAGAATAATAGTTAGCATTACTATTGTGAAACAAGATGAATCTAGGAAAGCTTTAAACCCAGAATGACAAGTTAGCATTAAGTGTAACCCAAAAGAAATATGACTCAAACCAGACAGCTTCATGTGGAGCTTTTTGCCCAAACCAGCTGGTTTTTTGGTGTTCATTGTGCTGCTTTAGATTTGTTTACTGTGTCCACAAGGAGCAGGGATGAAAACTCTTCGGTTAGCTGAGACACAAACCAAAATCCTTCTGGCAAGAGTGACTGAGTGATGGTGTTGACCTCCCAGAGTTCTGGGGCCACCAAGGAAGTCAGTTTGGAGGGTGTACGGGAGACACTCTGGCAGTACAGAGCCTGGGGTGAGGGGCATGTACTGACTGACTCACCTCAACTCAGTAAAACATGAAAAACAAATCAAACCAAAATAACAAAACAAAACAAACAAACAAAAAACACAAAAGACACTGGGGCAGCAGCAGCAGCAGCAGAATTCTCCAGGTGAGGTCCAGAATCCTTCCACTCTTCAGTCCTCTGGGTCTCTAAGTTCCATGGTTAGTCCCTAGCCTTCCTGGTTGGGTGTTACATCTGTAAATTCTGGGAAAGTATACAAATAAGTATGAAAGAGCAATGATAAAGAAATGGGCATGAAGCTGATTTTTTTTTAGTACCTTATGCTGTTTTTGGTTATGCTTTGTCTGCATTTAAGATGTGTGAAACTATAAAGGCAATGTGATTTACAACCTTCATGTTTTATTTGGCTTCCCAGTTTGATAGAAGTGCTGGGAAAGAAGTTGCTTGTCAAATGTGTAAGTGTGTCCCGTCAGGTGTGAAAGCATGAGCCCTATGTTCCAGGCATGAAAGCAAGCTGCACTACAGAAGTCCACAGGTGTGCGTCTCTACCGACATCTCTCAAGCCAGGAACACTGGGCTGGGGGCCCCCGAGCGCCGCTGGGCTGCTTCTCTGAAGGATTCACTGCCTTTTCCCCTTGAACTCTGGAGCCTGCTTCCCAACACACGTGCAGCATCCCACAGGCTCGAGGCCAACGAGCCGCACGTGAGGATCGGTGGAGAGGCTGGTCGAGAAACCTCTGGAGAGACTGATGGTCCTTTTGACTGCTCTCCGCCACTGAGGACACACTGGACAGTGGGAAGAATGCGGGGTAGACACCAGGTGGGTGTCTTAGGGGGCAAGCGGGAAGCGAACAGTAGGGCGCCACTTGGAGGAGCAGAGGTGGCCCCCCTGAGGACAGGTGGATGGGAGGCCCCGAGCTGGGAGTGAAACCAGTCAGGGGAGAAGAATTTAAACTCGCTCGTGGTAGTGTCCGCGGTGTGGAGTTGCCGCCATCGCCGTTGGCTCCACCCAGCCAATCACTGACAGTCCCGGGCAGAACCAAAGCTGTTTCCTCGCTGTGCTTGCTTGAATTTCTCTCGGTGCCCCGCTTCTTTCCCTCTTCTCCATCCTTGAGCTCCCACTTCTGTACCGCAAGTTTCCTCACCTTCTGTGACGTGTCTGTGCGTCAGCGGCGTCACCTGTAAACAATATTGCGTACCTCCCAGGACTGTTAGGTTCCTTTGAGGCAGACACCTAAAGCAGGACCGGACACCCTCAACACAGTGCGTTGTACATGGCGCGGTCATCACCAGCGCTACGATCTTCCTTGTGAATACTTTTTTCCCTGGCCTGACTTCCACCATATATTTCCAGCTCATTCCTGTTTGCACTTTTTAATATTTCATGGGTGGTTGCGTGGCATTCCTGCCTTTTGTTGCCTTTTAACCGGCCAGGATTCTAAGTTCTTTGAAGGAATGCTCTAAAGAGATAGACCACCTACCACAGACCTAGAGACCTGGACTGTATTGGTTAAAGTGAACAGGTCATGAATTAGAAAAGACAAGAGTACGTGTAAAACTATAAAGAGTATTTATATATATATGCACATACATTCCAAAGACAGATGACTGAAGTAAACAAATTCAATTAAACTGTTTGAGGTAGAAGAAAAAGAAACAAACACCAACAGCACTTTAACTGTTTTCCCTCGGTTTCGAACTGATGAACCTTTTGTGTGTTAGACTTAACGTGATAACCACTACACTACAGAAACCAAGGGTAGAAACAGTTTCCAGGATCCTTGTAAGGCTTGTAGTCATGGGCACTGCCCACGTCTCTTCACCCTACCTGGGAGGCAGAGCCCTTGGAAATATTCTATGTGGGCCCCCGGAAATATTGTTGTCTAACTGCTGGTCGCAACCCATTAGTAGGTTGGGAAACCAGTCACATTCAGCAATTAAAAACAAAACAGTGAATGAAAGCAGCAGGCCTAAAGATCTAAAGGATTAAGGAAATGATAAATACATTCAAAGAATACGAGATTTGAATATATTTCATCAAAATGTACATATAAATAAGCCAAAAATAAAATGAGTTTTACATATGCTTTCAAAATGATTGTGTTTCTTCTAAATTATGTGGAATTATCTATTAAAAATAAAAGGGAAATTGAAATATCAAATTCTAAGTCAATGTTATTTAAATAAAGCTGAAAATTTAAATTTTGAAATGTAATTAAATCTTTAAAATATTTTCTAAAAATAAAACCAATCAACACTAGCATTGAATGTCCAGAATTGGGATGAGGCTTAACACATGGTATATGTAGATCTCTATATATGCAAATGTAAGATTAGTATTGATGATTTAATATTGCCAAATGTTTTTTCATTTGTCTACACTGCTTCTGGAAGACCTGCAGAGCCAGGAATTGGAATGGAGGCTGAGTCCTGCTGAGGTGGGATCTTTGAGAGTCTTCAACTTGTAAGCCCCTCTCCACCAGACCACCCGGTGGGAGGTCCTCTTGTCCGAGTCTAGTTCTCTGATCAAGGTCACCAGGTGCCTGTAGGTGGCCCAATCCATAGAGACCTTGCCGCCTTCCTTGACTAGACCGTGTATGGAATTTGACTCTACCGATCTGTTCCTTTTTTTTTTTTTTTTTTGGCACATCTTAACTCTCTTGACCTCAGTGGAAGCTTCACTGCTAGCTCTACTCCTATTCCAACTCCTTCTCCATCTGTCTACCCAAGGCTATCTCCCTGGAGAGTCACATTGCGATTGACAGCTTGACCCAACCTCTACCCTGCCCGTCTGTGGCTCCAGCAATGACAGTGCTCCCCAAGCTTCAGATCCACATATCTTGGACATGTCCTTTTAGACATCTCCCAACCTGTTCAAGAGTGAACTCATTACTTCTCTCTCAGCCCCCCACCCCACTCCTCAGTGTTGGAAGGTGGAGGAGAGTCAGTGAAGTACCTTCTGGACTGAGAAGGCACGTTAAGAGGGAAAAAATGAAGCAAGCCATTCCATATCATACACAGAGTTTTATTCAGGGTAACTTACTGACAGGGAGTATGGGTGGGGACAAACCATCCAGGCGGTGCCGAGTCATTCTCCACAGCTATTCTCTGCCCAGTCCAACTTTAATCCCTAGATTTTATGGAATGAGGAGTATGGTGGTGAGGTCATAGGGTAGTTACCTAAAGTGGGGCCTTCTGTGTGCCACTTTAGGGAAGATCAGAACAAGCCTTCCCCCATTCCATGTCATGGCACACATTAACCTCCAAGGGCCTGTAACATGTAGTGGGAGGGAGGTCACTGCTCCTGTTTGAAGAGGATGGAGGGCCAAAGGTGGGGTCAATGTTGCCCCTACTCCTACACTCAGTCTTTGATTTCTGTTACTAAACTATCTAAAGCAGAAACTGGGGAGCTCCCTCTCCTGCCCAGGTATAAACCGTGCACCTAGCTCCTTCACCCCCTTCTCCCATCTGGCTGCTGCCTCCCCAATGCTGTGCTAGTTGCTTCCAGTCTAGACCATGGCTGTGTACCTCCAGTTTCTCTCTCTGACTCAGTCTCACTCCCATCACACATTCTGCTCATCGTTTCTGAAGGAATCCTTCTGAAATGTAAATCAGAAAGAGTCCTTCTGCCTCCATCGCCAAGGAGGAGAAAGGCCAAAAATCCTACTTTCCTTGTGTTTGCTGAATGTCTGAACTGATCAACGCTTGACTCTTTTGTGTTAAGAGCAGCAGATCACTTACCAAAGGGGATTCCAAATTGGGCCTGGCTAGAGAGGCAACTGTGGAAGTGGTGGAGAGGAAAGAGAATCAGGAATTGTAGCAAAAAGCTCTGGTGGGATGCTCCTAGCTTGTTGGGAAATGGCAATGAGAAGCCTGTCCACTTTGGCTTCCCCTTAATGAAAACTAGGATCTTTTAGGATGTTTTCCATTTCCAGTGAAGGAGGTTTAAAAAAAGGCCCTGAAACTACAATTTGCAAACGAATCCACAAGTATTTGTGCAAGAGAAAATGTCAAAGTTGAAACTCCTGGGACACAAGCTTATTTAGACCCATTAATTCCAAGATAAGACCATATTAAGACCATAGTAACCGTAAGTTTCACATGATCGAGGTAGGACTGTACCAGCAAATCCTTCTATTTTACCAACTTTGACCAATTCCTGTCTAGACTGCCCTTATACGGTGTCATGCTAAACTTCCCCTAATTCCTGTCTTTGACACACTTCTCAGACTGAAGGCGATTCAACCCTTAGCAAGTTCAATAAACGAGCTTTACATGACCAATAGACTTCTTTTGCGGTCTGTCGTGTATTAAGGGAGACTTCTACATACGGAAAACAGAAAAAGGGCTGAATTTGCAGGACTAAAAAAAGCAGTTCAATTGAAGTTAAGGAAGCATTTCCTGACAAGACCAGTAAACTGAGGATGCTCATGTTAGGGTGTTCCAAAATAAAGGATATTTTTACATTCCTCTTTGTGTGGGGCAACATTTCACAAAAGATGGACTCTTAAAAAGAGGAATATACTGAAGATGAGGGTCTCAGATTACGAAGAGCACTCTTTTCTCACTGGAAAAAAAACCCGGCCGCGGCGGCCAGAGCGCGAGAAGGCTTAGCCTCTAAGTCACCCAGTAAAGTGGTCGCGAATCCGGCGCCGTTGGGTCCCCCCACGCAGCTTCCGGAAGCCACGCCGCACCCTCCTCTCCCGCGCAGCGCGCCGCGGACACCGGACTGGCAGTCTGGTCAACAGAAGGCGCCCAATACTTGTTGACCGTGGGCAGTCGGATTTCAGCGAGCGGAACGGTGGCCCAAGGAGCAGGCCCTCCGGGGAACTTGTCCGCTGGCACCCACCCCTCCCTCACTGCCTTTCAGCCAAGCGAGGGCCTTACAGTCTTTAGTTGGGCTACCGGCAGCCACCAGCCCAGTTTCCGCGCGCCCCGCCAGGAATGCCGAGTTCCACGAGCTGTGGGTTTGGAGAGAACCTCGTTGCCTGACTTTGCATCAAAAGTTCTTTTTTTTACTTCTCCAAAAGGACTTGCGCCCAACGTGGGGCTCGAACCCACGACCCTGAGATTAAGAGTCTCATGCTCTACCGACTGAGCTAGCCGGGCACGTGCGCGGTTTTCTATTCTATCCCAGAAGACTGAAATGCACATGCAGGGATGAGAGCACACTTTGGAAAAGCAACTGTGCAAATATGGAGCACCTACTGTGTGTCTGACTGTCCTAGTGACTAGGGTTGGAGGATCCGAAGCCTACGCTCCCTCAACCCGGGAGAGGTGGCTCTGCAGGCTCTTGCAGGGAAGAGCAAGAGATTAGCTGAGGAGAACTGAATTTACACCGGAGCATTTATGGAGGGCGTGCTCTGAGCTCTTGCTGTCCCGTTTATACTGCCTGTCTCCAAGAAAAAGAGATAGACACACACATGTCCTTCCCTCTTTGTGACCACAGGCCCCCCAGTCTCCCCGGGGCGCAAGAGAGGCGTGGATGAAGTGACCGTAGAAATGAAACGCAGACCAAAAGCTGTTTCCGCCCGGTTTCGAACCGGGGACCTTTCGCGTGTGAGGCGAACGTGATAACCACTACACTACGGAAACCCACGCCAGTGTCTTTTGACCAACACCACCTTGAAGCTACGCAGGGCAGGGAATGACGGAGTTGAGCGAAGCCAGAGTTCCAAGCGGCTGACGTTCCCTGCGCTGGCGCCTGAGCTGTGTTCGGGTCTGGTGGCCACACTTCTCTTGGCATGGCCTCGTATGGTTGTTCACCCACGAGGATTACTGGTTTTGGCGTGTTCGGCCACCCTTCTGAGGACGCAGGCGTCCACTGGGAGTTTCCCCACTGGCGGGAAAGCGCCTCCTGAACAGGGTGGGTTGTGCGTACGCAGCCCTGGCATCCCGCAGCGGCCGGCACTCACGGGCAATTCTGCACATGAATTACGTTCCTGTAACTGCCCCTGCAGGTTTTCCCTTCTTTTTTAATTAAAGGAGAAATTTTTCAAAAGCCTCAGGTATTATTTCTGTCGCCAAAATAATCTATTTGACAGAGATGCTCTGCGTACCAAAGCGGCATCTTTAGTTCTACAGCCTGGATGGGATTATCTCAAATAAAATGAATACCACAAACCCAGTTTGAGCCCTTGCCCCTAGACTGGGACCTCGTGCATACAGACCTCGAGGTAGTATTTTGGGCACGGAGCGTGCGTGGTGCCCAGCTCAGAAAGTTGAATGAACCGACGGCACTGAACTCAGTTACTATGTGCTAAGCAACATACTAATCGCTTTGAAATTATATTAACTCTAATTTCACAAAACCCTCTGATAGGGACTACTATCCTTATTTTATATGAGTAAATACCGGATGATAAAGTTATCAAATACATCTAACACCCCCTTTTTTACAGATGGTAGTACAGTCTACATTTTTCAGCACCTTGCTTTTCTCACCTCACAATACATCTTGAAAAGGATTCCCTTTTTACAGCTAAAGAGCATTCCACTGTGTGAATGTTCATGTAATGATTTCACTATTCCTTTACTGATGGGCCGTTAGAAAAGTTCATCTAAACGATACGACAGTGACCAGACGGCAGTTTCTCAAATGCGTGTGGAAATGCCAACTATAGTGGGGAGAATTGGCAAGGTCTCCGAGAAACTCTTGAGTTCCCAAACAACAAAGTCCTCGGCCTAGAAGGGCCGGAAGTACTTGAGGACGCTCACCGGGACCCGCCCCTCCGCTTCCGGCATCGGCCGTGGGGAGTCCCTGGTGCAGTCCTCAGTGCTCGGTTAGTAGGATGGCGCCGGGCCGACGCGGTCACAGCACCGAGAGCGGACGGCCGCTAAGCGCTTCCACCTTCCCCCGAAGTTTATCCCCAGTGGCGGGGGATGGGGGAGGCCGGTTCTTCCGGGTCGTCCGCGTTCCCTCTTTCGTATTACAGAGACGTGGGCCTCCTTCGTTCTAGCCCTCCCGCCCTGTTCCCATGTGCCTGCTAGAGCGTCTCCTCGCCGTTTCCTGTCGCCCAGGGGCCCGGGAGGAAAGAAGGGGGCGTAGCACTACGGCGGAGGGAACTCGCGAGCTTAGCTGATTCGCAGATACCGGAAGTGTTGGGAGGAAGGCCGGAAGTGAGGGGGCGGAGCCAGGAAGTGAGGAGGGGCGGGGGTTTATGAGGAGGCCAAGGGAGCGTTGGGACAGATTTGCACTCAGGGCCACCTGAGGGACTTGGCTGTAGCGCCCAGCTTTGTCCCCTCCCCTCGCAGAGACACGGTTGTCGTCTAGGAGTAGGGAACTCTGTGTGGAGGGGTGGGTTGTCGGGAGGACCTTCCTCTGTGCGCCTGAGGCAAGGTGTGGAGAGGCGGGGTGGGGGTGGGGCCGGGTCGTCAGGGCGACTGAGAGGGAAGACCCCCGCCCCCCGCCCCCCCACCGCCCATCTACACTGGCTGACTGGACACTAAGATGGCTGCCGTTGCCATGGCACCCAACCCTGTGCAGACCCTTCAGGAGGAGGCGGTGTGCGCCATCTGCCTCGATTACTTCACGGACCCCGTGTCCATCGGCTGCGGGCACAACTTCTGCCGAGTGTGTGTAACCCAGTTGTGGGGAGGGGAGGATGAGGAGGACAGAGACGAGTTGGACCGGGATGAGGAAGAGGAGGACGGAGAGGAGGAGGAAGTGGAGGCTGTGGGAGCCGGTGGGGGGTGGGACACCCCCATGCGGGATGAAGACTATGAGGGCGACATGGAGGAGGAGGTCGAGGAGGAAGAGGAGGGTGTGTTCTGGACCAGTGGCATGGGAGGGTCCAACTGGGACAACATGGACTACGTGTGGGAGGAGGAGGACGAGGAGGAAGATTTGAACTACTACTTGGGGGACATGGAGGAGGACCTGAGAGGGGAGGATGAGGAGGACGAGGAGGAAGTGCTGGAGGAGGACGAGGAAGAGGAGCTAGACCCCGTCACCCCGCTGCCCCCGCCTCCAGCCCCTCGGAGGTGCTTCACCTGCCCTCAGTGCCGAAAGAGCTTTCCCAGGCGGAGCTTTCGCCCCAACCTGCAGCTGGCCAACATGGTCCAGGTGATTCGGCAGATGCACCCAACTCCTGGTCGAGGGAGCCGTGGGAGCGAGCAGGGCATTTGTCCCAAACACCAGGAAGCCCTGAAGCTCTTCTGCGAGGTGGATGAAGAGGCCATCTGTGTGGTGTGCAGAGAATCCAGGAGCCACAAACAGCACAGCGTGGTGCCATTGGAGGAGGTGGTGCAGGAGTATAAGGTGAGAGAAGCAGAAGAGGGGAGTTTAGCTGGGGGTGGAGAGGAAGTAAGAGGAGCTGGGAAAAGGAAACATATCCCCTCCCAACCCCAGAACTTCATGCCCTGGTGAGCTGATTTTCCTTTACTTAGCACTTACTGGCATCAAGGTGGGTTAGACTGAGAAGGATCCTGTACAGACAAAGCAGACCAGTGAAGAAGACCAGGAAGATTGGCTTCCTCAAAAGAAATTGGGCAAAGCCCATATGATACTATATCATTGGGTTGCATCTCTTAGGGAAAGTACTGCTGTTTCACACTTCCACTGTCTCTGAGTGTAGGAGTGCAGGTGACAATCCCCTCAGGCTTTACCACCAGTCTCATTTTCCTCTGGGTGAGTCTTCAGTCTATCCTTGACTTAGACCCCTAGAGTTGGGAAGGACTTGGGGCCTCAAAGAACAAGAAAGTGCCTTAAGGAGCAGGAATGTAGAAATGACTACTAGTGTCAGACCCAGATACTCTGCACTTGCCTTTTAATGGGTTTCTCACCTACCCCATGATATGGCTTGTTTCTCCTCACGGACTTTTGTTAGATCTGCATCAGTCTAATGTACTGACTAGAACTTACCTTTCCTGAGAATGCAGAAAAAAGGGAGAGGCTTCTAAATCAGAAGACCAGGCTCTGTACTTGTGAATATTCACTCAGGCATCTCTAAAAGTCTTGGAATTTTAATTTCTCCAGGATTAAAAGTTAATATTTACTGAACACTTTACTTACTATGTACACCAGGCACTGTACTAAGCACTTTTCATGGACTCATTTAAAACTCAAAATCCTGTAAGTTTGATATGGTTTCTATCCCTGTTTTACAGATCAGGAAACAGATTTAAGTAATATACACAGGGCCACGCAGCTACTAGTAAGTGATGGACTTGGTTATGACCCCCCTCCCCTGCCCTGGCACCCCTGCATACTGTTAACAGTGTCACCGCCATTTAGATGTCTTGTTAATTTGACTTTCCTGACATGTGACTTCTTGGAGTCTGATACTAGTTTGGATAATACTTTGCACCCTACTTCTGGCCTCACTCTTTTGGGATATAAGTAACATTTGTCTGTGAGACAGCCAGCACAAATAGCATTCCTGGGACAGGTTTGAAATAGTGGGACCAGGAGGAAGAGAGGGTAGCTCCTATGTGGTCTGTGCGGAACTTCTTTGTGTTATGACCTGTGTTTTCATACATTGTCACACAGTAACCTCATTTAGGTAATCTTATCAGTACCCTAATTTTAGAGTAACGAGTCTAGAGCTTCTCAGCTATGAGCAGTACAGCTAGGACAAACTTACACCCTCTCATGACAAGTAACTGTTTCTTCTACACAGTGATTGTCCCAATTACTAGGGGAGTTTTCAAAAGTACAGTGGGCCCTACCACTTGAGATTCTGAGTCAGAGACGGTGAGAATATAAAAATATCTTTAAGAAAGCCCAGCGTAGCGTGGGGATCACTGCATTGGTAACATCACCTGTTTTTTAGGCCCTGCGTTGTTAGGGGAGGCTGTGATCTCATTTTATCCTTTTTTTACCTCCTTTTGGCTCCTAGTTAACTGTACCCACCAATGGGCAGTTTGTAAACTGAATCTTGGGGTGGACTGTTCATGGGCATTCCATCCCTTCTCCACCCTCCTCCTACAGGACTCTTCTGAAGAGCTTCTGAAACTGGATTTTAATTTGTGTTAGCCACATCTGTTGTATGCCAGCCCAGTAGGGCTCTGCAGTTTGAGGAGGCCACATAGATGCAAATAATCTGCCATTAATTGATCAGCAAATGTAAATACATTAAAGTTTTATTATATAGAACTAATTTGAGTGATTCCTTTTCTAACTTACAGGCTATTTTATGGGCAGGTAGTTTATCCCTTTCAAATGTGTACACTAAGTAGCACTAGCTTGGAACAGTGTTTTTTAGAAATATTTCTTTATTGAATAGGTAATAATACAAATGATGTATAAATAAAGCTCCTAAAAAGTTGGAAGTCCTTGATAATTTCTCTTAAATAATACTCTGGATTTGCACTCATGAATTTTTTGTCAGTTATTTAGGAAAAATATTAAATGGGAAATTTAAGCATCATAAATTCTGAGTAGAGTTGGAGAAAAGAAGAAGGTAATATCAAAAGACAAAATTTTTTTGTAGTTTATGCTACTTTCATGTAAGGGATTGCCTGTAATATTTTTAATGTAATTTTTTCAACAACCACTTATCCTGTGCAACAACTGCCTTTTATACTCTGGGTCAGTAACCTCTTTAGTTCAAGGGTCATTATCAGGTTGTCATTGGCAGCTTAGACATAGGTAGAGAATACTAGATAACATTTATTGATCTTTGGTACATGCCAGACATTGTGTGAAGCATACTGTCCATAAGGTAGATTCTGTTATTCCCAATTCCTGTGTAAGGTGAGGAAACTGGAAATGTGGCTCGCATCAGGTCATCTGGTTCTATTCAGGTTTAGATTGGAGTCTAGGCTTGAGCTCTTCTGCCCTGTACTATCTCTCAAGGAAAAGGAAGGAGAAAGGCAGTAGTAGGAGACATTAAAAAGGAAAAAAAACAAGTTGGGACCATCTTTGGTCTCTAACAGCCTTTTAAAGAAAAAGATTCTGTTACAAGTGATTGGAACATAGAGCTCAAATGCGTATTGGCTGTGAAGGTTAAAACCTTAGGAAGAGAGGGTTTTTGTTTTCCATTTAGTAAATGAGTGGGAGAGAAATGGACAGAGAGGCGTAGAAATTAAGGGGGGCCCCTGCCCCCAGGAGCCCCTGTGTCCTGGGGGAGGCATACTTAAAAATCAGTGCCTCAGAAGTATTGTAAAGGTTGTATTCATGTTCCTTGGGGTGACAGAGGAAGTTGGAGGCAGGGAGGATCTGGACCATGGTCAGATAGCTGGGTTTTAAAGGAAGCATGCCTTGGGCCAAATGGAGAAAGGCAATCCCAGGCAGAGGGAACAGCATGGATAAAGATATGGAATTACATTCAGGAAAAGACAGGTAGTTTTATGTCGCTAAAACTAAGTCTATATTAGAAGGGATAAGTGTAGGAGAGGAGGCTAGAAATGTAGAAGCAATGAGAGCCTCATATTTTGCAGGTGGTGGAGAACCACTGAAGGATCTTTAGCTTAGGCACAAAGTTGTCAGAGAAGTGTTTAGAGATGAAAGTTACAAGAAAGATTGCTTATGAGGGGGAAGGGACCATAGGCAGGAACATTCATATGGAAGGACTTTGTGTGGTGAGGGCTTCAGGCCAGGTCCACTATGGGGCTCTGTAGTCCTCAGGATCCTACTTTTAGAGAACACACCCAGGGCTTCTGTACATGAGTGCAGGCAGAATGTTGGAGGCCTTTGTCATCATCTGAAGAGAAGAAAGGGGAGGAAGGGAGTATGATGCTTATTTGGTACCTGTGGTGGGGATCAGGCTTTGGGCCCCAGTGCACTGCAGGGAAGATGGGGGAGGTGGGCATTGAAAGCAGGTGTCTCTCCTATCCCAGGCCTCTAACCTTCCTTTCCCATTCCCTCAGGCCAAACTGCAGGGGCATGTGGAACCACTGAGGAAGCACCTAGAGGCTGTGCAGAAGATGAAGGCCAAGGAGGAAAGGCGGGTGACAGAGCTGAAGGTGGGTGAATGTCCTTAATGGGGTTGACTGGCTCTGTGATCAGGCAGGGAAGATGGGCTGCCCACTCTCAAAAGTGGTGGCTAGATTCCCTGAAGAGGGGCAGCTGAGACCTGGGAGAGTAGACACATTCTCAGGATCCTGAAGAGAGTGGCTTTAGATGGTTGAGGGCGTGTTCGTTCCTAGGTTCCAAAATGGAGTGGAAGCAGGCCTGGGGCAGAGAGGTTGGGTCCCTGGACCAGGGCTGCAAAGCAGGCTTACCACCCAGATACCTCACTCCAGGCCCATTGCCCACCATACCGGATAGCACAGAGGGCAGAAGTGGGCAAGGAAAATCCACATAACAGCCATCAGAGGAGCCCCAGTTCCCAGGACAGATGGCAGGGCAGCCCTGAGCAGGAGAGGGGGGCCAGAGTGTTTAATGGAGGCTAGGAATTTGTGAATGTTAGCATGGCAGAGACTTAATCTTTTCTAGTCCAGTGTTTCTCAGCTGTTTTTCATGATTGATCACCCCTCCCCAAGGAGTATTTTTAGATATTTTTTCCCATAATATCAACCCCCCACCCCCAACTCTGTACCTGTTTCTGTAAGGTCAGCAGGCACTGAGAATGGCCTGGCACTGAGCTTTGGAGACCAAGCCAGGACATCCTTCTTGTCTGACCTCTTCCCTCATCTCTCCCACTGGCCATTTGAGGGGTCTTGCCACTTCCCAGGGCTTGTGCTTATTCTTCGCCACCTACACATTAGGAACTCTGCTGCTGGCTACTGCCAGGCACTAAGTGGTGGGAATCTGAGTCTGGGAGCCATGGAGTCCTCTTGCCTCTAGCCAGATGCTCTGGGGTCCTCGGTTACAGAGAGAGGATGTCAGATCTGAGTGTCTGTGGGACAGAGAGTGAAACTGACTTCCTTCACTCACTTGGTCAGTCAGAACTTCCTTTCCCTCTCTGCCCTGTTATTCTTTGTCCCAAGAATGTCTCTAGTTGATGGGTGGAAAGCATGCCCACTATTTGGGATTCCCCAGCCCAGGCAAATGGGGTGAGAGTGGGCAGAAGTTTTCTGTCATTATATGTAGAAGTACCTACACAATGATGCCCATGATTTTGCCTCTTGGCTCTTAAAGTGTAAAATATTATTTGGCTGTTTACAGGAAAAGTTTGCTAGATTCCTGATCTAGAAGGATTGGGTGACTTTCTAAGGTCTTTAGTGGTATAGTCATGACCCTAACTTCATATCCTGGTTCCTGAATTTTTAATTTATTCATTTCAAAATATTCTAAGTACCTACTCTGTGGTTGGTGCTCTTCCAGGGTCTGAGGACCCTGTGGCAAACAGAGATTATGCAGTGGTGGAAAGGGATGTTAAAAGATACTTCAGTGTAAACATAACCTAAGATTAATGCCATGATATACAGTGATATTTGTGGGGGTGGTCCTGATTTAGATCTGGAGGGAATATTTTTAAGCTTAGACCTGAAGTTAGCCAGGGTGGAGATAAAGTTACAGGCAGAAGGTGTTGAGTTTGAGACCACTGTGCTGGGGGTGTGGGAGTGGGGCCTGGTAAGGCTGGGAGGTGGGGAAGGGGACAGGGGCCTCTTTCCATTTGGGATGTAGGGCTCCATTACCTTGGATTGAGGGGCAGCAGTTGCAAAATTGGAAGTTTATGTTTCTGTGTGTTGAGGTGGTATCCACCATCCCCTTTGCATCATCCCAGAGCCAGATGAAGTCAGAGCTGGCAGCTGTGGCCTCGGAGTTCGGGCGGCTGACACGGTTTCTGGCTGAAGAGCAGGCAGGGTTGGAGCGGCGCCTCCGAGAGATGCACGAAGCTCAGCTAGGGCGTGCAGCAGCAGCGGCTAGCCGCCTGGCGGAGCAGGCTGCCCAGCTGAGCCGCCTGCTGGCCGAGGCCCAGGAGCGGAGCCAGCAGGGGGGCCTGCGGCTGCTCCAGGTGAGCAGTGCCCCCTTCCTTATCTCCCTGTCTCCCCAAAACCCTGTACTTGCTCTGTCAGGCAATGCTTACCAAACATCTGTTCAGAGCTGCCTCTCTTCTCATTGAGAGGAACCCACAAAGATTTAACCTAAGACCAAAAGGTTTTTTGAGGCTGGGGACAGAGTTAATGCCAAATGTGGTGTAACATGTGATTATACCCATCAAAAGAACGAAGATTCAGTTGTAGAATGAGGGTTTTAAAGGAGAGTTGAGGAAAGAATTTTTGACAGAGATATCCTGAAAAAGATGACCAAGTCATGTGAAAATTCTTTTACTGGGGTTGAAAATTCTGTTATTGGTCTTGCAACAGGATGAGATTAATTAGGTGTGCTGAGGCATAGGGATGATTGAGATAGATACACGCTTATTGAGGGCCTTGAGAGTGCTCTTTCTTACTCCCTGTTCAAGTTCAGTCCTTTCTCTGGCTGGAATCAGATTGGGAGAAAGGAGCTGTCTCTGTGCAGCTGACTCTCTCTTTGTCTCTTTTTCCCTCTCCCTCTTTTTGTTTCTGTTATTCCCAGGACATCAAGGAGACTTTCAATAGGTGTGTTGCCACCCTTTTCCTCTGTGACCCAGTGGCATCTGGTTCCCCATCCCTACCTCTCTTGGATATCCCGCTCCTTTCCTTCCTTCCCCAGGACCCGAGTTTCTGCCTCCTGGACCCACCTCTCCTTCCCCTCAGCTTTTGCTCTTCCCTCTGGGAATATCATGGTCCCACCCCCTGCCCGGTCCCCTTCCTCCAGGTGTGAAGAGGTACAGCTGCAGCCCCCAGAGGTCTGGTCCCCTGACCCGTGTCAACCCCATAGCCATGACTTCTTGACAGATGCCATCGTGAGGAAAATGAGCCGGATGTTCTGTCAGGCTGCCCGAGGTAGGGAGGTCACCTGTACGACCTTCCTTTGCCTTTCCCTTTACAGACCTGAGATTGGGTTCTGAGGGGGAAGGTGGGTCCCAGGGGGGAACGCTTGGGGACAGGTAGGCTGCTTGGGGCTTCAAGCCAAGAGTAGCTTTTGTCCTAGTCCAGGTAGGTGTTGGTGGTCGGGGAGGGAGGTGGGTAGCAAGAAGAGCCAGGGCCGGTGTTAGACCTGTCCAGTGTCCTGGAAACAAGAATGGGGAAAGAAGTGGAGCCCATAGGAACTCAAGTCTGGCCTCTAGGATGGGGTGGGGTGAGGACACCTGGAAGGCTGGGAGGGAGGGAGGCAGGCAGGCAAAGGGGAGGGCAGCAGGAAAGGCCCAATCTTAGAGTTGGCTATTGATGGGGAACAAGTTGTTCCAGCCCTGGCATATTTGTCCTCCCCCCTCCCAAGTGGACCTGACGCTGGACCCTGACACGGCTCACCCGGCTCTGATGCTGTCCCCTGACCGCCGGGGGGTCCGCCTGGCAGAGCGGCGGCAGGAGGTTGCTGACCATTCCAAACGCTTCTCAGCCGACTGCTGCGTCTTGGGGGCCCAGGGCTTCCGCTCTGGCCGGCACTACTGGGAGGTAGAGGTGGGCGGGCGGCGGGGTTGGGCAGTGGGTGCTGCCCGTGAGTCGACCCATCATAAGGAGAAGGTGGGCTCTGGGGGGTCCCCTGTGGGCAGTGGGGATGCCAGCTCCTCGCGCCATCACCATCGCCGCCGCCGGCTCCACCTACCCCAACAGCCCCTGCTCCAGCGGGAAGTGTGGTGTGTGGGCACCAACGGCAAGCGCTACCAGGCACAGAGCTCAACGGAGCAGACACTGCTGAGCCCAAGTGAGAAACCACGGCGCTTTGGCGTGTACCTGGACTATGAGGCTGGGCGCCTGGGCTTCTACAATGCGGAGACTCTAGCCCATGTGCATACCTTCTCAGCTGCTTTCCTGGGCGAGCGTGTCTTCCCTTTCTTCCGGGTGCTCTCCAAGGGCACCCGTATCAAGCTCTGCCCTTGATTAGCCTGCCACCCGCAGGGGCCCCTCTGTTTAGCACTTGGGGGGCGGGTGGTGGTGGAGGGTGGCCCGTAAGTTTGGGGGCTCAAAGGCTCCTTCCACTGTTTGCTTCCTGCTCCCCTTTGACCCAGGCCCCCTTCTCCCTCTAGGAGCCTAAAGAACCCTCCTGGCCTGCAGCTCGGCCTTCGCTCACCTGCAATGTCTGTCCAATAGGTCTGCATGGGTCCCTGATGAGAACAGCTGCCTGGTTTTCCTTCCCTCTGTCCACCCAGGGGTCTGAGTTTGAGTAGGGGATGAGGGGAGATTTAACTCCATTACTTAACTTCCCTTTCCCTGCCCCTGCTCTTCAACCCTGTCAGTTCCCAGGCTGGGGTACTTGGGCAAGACTCATGTCTGCCCCCATTCCAATTCCATTTTCTGATGCAAATTTTAGCTAAGGGATTTGGAAGCTTTTTTTGGGGAGGCAGGTTGGGCAAAAGCTGGGTAATAAGTGTCTACTCTACAGGGGAAGTAGGAGGGATTCTAAACTCCTTCCATCCCCAATTTCTACCTCCATAGACTGGCCAGAATTTAGCTTGAGAGCTCTGGAATGGTTGACATGATTTAAACTACATACCATTATATATCACCCAATAAATTATTTTCTCCCCCTTCCTTTTTTCCAGCACTCAAACTAGGAGTAAAGCTCACCCCATCCAACCCCTCCAGGTCTTTTCACTGCCAGGCTCCTTTCCCCTTTGTTCAGTGGAGTTGTGTCAGTTTCCAGCCTCTTCATGTCTTTAGTTCTCCATTTGGTGAGCCCTGACCAGGAGCCTGGGGACAGGGGTTTGGATCCCCAGAAGAGCCTTGGGTATAATCTATTTTTCTAGTAATCCCCTTGCCTTGTCACTTGTCAGCTTTTGTCCTCTACTTTGATGGTAGAGGTCAATTTATGTTCCTGGGGAAAGGGAAGATGGGTTGTGTTGTGAAAATAAAAAGTTTATTTGCTTCTTTTGTGGAGTCCTTTCCTTTAGATGAACAAAACAGGATGAGACAAAATTTTTTTCCATAGTAAGCCAGTTCTTCTAATGTGATACCAAAGAACGGAGGACTAATTGTACCTTCTTGTAATAACCTGCTTTTTGCACTGGTCACATTTGGTGAGCCCTCTTTCCCAAGTGTGACCTTATTCCTATAGACTGTGATAGTCATTCCCTAGCCCCATTTGAATGACCTACAGTTTTGGTTTTTTTTTTTTATGGCACTCTCTTCAGGATGCACTTGAAGATGTATGTTTGCTGCTTTGTGTAGATCACTGCTTTGAGGCTTTAGGACTATGGTTTCCCCAAGAATCTTCCCATTTCCAAAGTCTTTCTGTGTGATTTTATCTAGCTGAAATACCATAAAAGTTGAAGCTGAAACCAGAGATCTCATTACCATTATGAGTTGATAGAAAAGGAAATGGAAGATCTGTACAGGCTACATCAACACACTACACGTTACTTACCACCACTTGAAGAAAAAAGCCAGCTGTGATTATATTTACGAATACCTGCAGACCAGTCTGTACAATTTTTAATGTCCAACAATGGAAGGAATAAAAAGTAATTACTAAGCAGCAATTCTTCTAGTGAAGAGGTGCTTCATCATAGATGGATTCAAAAATCAACAAAAAGACCCAATTTAACAGACTACTCTAACCTGAGGAGTTTCAAAATATTTGTTTTGTAATAGGGCTTTGAGGAATGACAAAATGCCTGTTTGTTCAGTTATTTCTTTATAAGCTAGGACTGAGGTTTTACTACTCCTGAAGAACATTTTCTCCAGGCTTAAGGGAGGCCTAGAGGATCTATACCTGAGACACAGAATACTGTGATGTAGCGTAGCATTACAAAGTAGCTTTTTTTGTTTATCAGAAAAAGACACTTTCTAAAAGTCAGAAAACCAATGTTTTATTCCTAGAGCTCTGCCGTATTTCTAGCGGGTGCCAATGGTCACCTGCCACACACGCACCAGGTTGTCTGTGTAGCCGGCAAACAGAGTCTGCAAGGGAGAAAGGACAATGATAGGTCATGTCAGAGCCACAGAACTCTGCATTTCTAGTAATAAAGATGGCCTTTAAGATCCCCAATCTCCTAACCACCAGGTTGTAGGTGGTATATATTCCTAGAAAAGGCAATAGCTGGTATTAAGAATTCATACTTTTGTAAAATGGTTATCTAAGGTGTTAATTGAAGGCAGGTAATCGCTGCCTGCTAGATCAATTTTCCTTCCAATTCGGGAACATGTACTCTATTCACTGGCATAGCTAATCTGGTCCTCCCAAATCACCCTAATTTTGTCATTTTACTTTATGTCAAAGACACACCAAGAGCATAAAGGGAGAGAGAAAAGGTAGAAGCCAAATCACTTGAGAGACCTACTTACCTGGCCATCAGCAGACCAGGCCAGAGAGGTACACTGGGGTGGCTCTGCCTTGCTGCTGGTACTGATAACTTCTTGCTTTAGTTCATCTACAATGATCTTGCCTTCCAAGTCCTGGGGAAGGAGCAAAATCAGGATAAGGAGGGACTCTACTACAGGCATGGGCGGGGGGGCAGGTAGAGGTTGAGGATGTTGCTGAACAGCCTATAAAATGCACAGGACTGCCTCCTTTCCTCCCCCACCAGAACAATCTAGACCAACACGTCAACTGTGCTGAATTTGAGTAAACTGTAATTGGCCATCCCCTTTAGTCGATAAGTATCTGCCACCACTGTAAATCCCAATCTTGGGAAGCTGTTAACTTGCTCTTCCTTGATCTCCACTGACAGCCCCATGGTTAGCTGTTCAGGAAGCTTGAATCCCATCAGTGACATATGAGGAAATCACAACATTGCCAGGGTTCAGAATACAGCTAGGTGCTAGGCCTTAACTATAGCCCACACTCACCCAGATCTTGATGCTGGGGCCCGTGGCAGCACAGAGCCAGTATCGGTTAGGACTGAAGCACAGGGCATTGATGATGTCCCCACCATCAAGTGTATAAAGGTGTTTGCCTTCGTTGAGATCCCACAGCATGGCTTGGCCATCCTGGGAAGATAAGGGAGTTAGGGCAATATGAAACCTATTCCAGATGTTAATCTCAAGTCTTAAAATTCTGTCCCTCCCCCCACAAATGTCCCAAAAGCTAAGGATTCAAATACCAGTATTTATCTCTGAAAGCCTTTCCTTTCATGCAGGAAACCTCACCAACCCTACATCTCTGACAACTTCTAAATAACTACAATCAGTTCTAAGAACTGAAACCTAATCAATAGCTTCAAGAAACCAGCTTTACTGAAAACAATCTTTTTGTTTCAAACAGTATGCCTTATCTTATGTTATTTCTAGAAAGCAATCTTAGATGGCTATCTCATTATCATAAGTATTCTTTTTAAAACACTATCCCTCACTGAGTAGTAACTCCCAGTTCCTGAATACCTTCCCTCCAGAAGCGCAGAGGGATCCATCTGGAGAGACAGTTACAGTGTTCAGGTAGCCCGTGTGGCCGATGTGATTGGTCTTCAGCTTGCAGTTTGCCAAGTTCCATACCTAGGTTTGGGAGGTTGGAGGGTAATAGGTGAAGAACCTGGCTCTGAATCCACTGGGGTCAGGCGGGCTCAGGACAAATGAAAAAGGCATGGCACCTTATTTAAAAGCATTCCAGGACAGGGTGGCCATTTTTCATTCTATCAGTAACAAAAAAGTTAAAAAGAATTTGTCTTGGTCACCCAAGGACAATGAAAATGAAAAAAGATAACAAATGTTCTGTGTGTTGCTTTATGGGGGACACTGGGCTTAGTTAGCTACTTCAGAGCAAGTATTAAGAACTAATGGCCTGTACTTAGAAGACAGCCATACTAAAAGCCAACTGAGGGACAGAGCCTTCAAAGTTAGAGCCTATGACCACCTGGGAGGCAGTGGGAGAATATTCTAGCTGGTAAAGGCCCTACACCCTGGTTCCAAGCTCACCTTGACCAGCTTGTCCCAGCCACAGGACACAATAATGGGATTGCTGCTATTGGGTGAAAATCGGACACAAGATACCCACTCCGAATGGCTCTCATCCTGCAGAAGACAGAAATCAGGAGAAACAATCTTGGTTCCCATGAAACTCACCACCCCTTCCCTCAGTTACATGGGAAGTATTCACACCCCCAGAACCCAAATCTTAGTATTAACAAAACCCTTTAGAGTCCAGGCCAGGCTTGAAATCACCACGTACTGCCAAGGATGAGAAGAGTAGGAGAGAATCTTCACCATGTGCTTTCTACATGTGCTTTCAGTTACCTGGACAGTATATTTGCATACACCCAGAGTATTCCACAACTTGATAGTTTTATCTCGGGAGCCAGAAACAATTTGCCGGTTGTCGGAGGAGAAGGCCACACTCAGCACATCCTTGGTATGTCCTACAAATCTGCGTGTGGTGGTACCCCTGAGGAGGAGGACTTGGTCAGTCTCTAAATGCCGCAAACATCCTTCACATCAGACTATTTCCCTGTCCTTTTCGTCTCACTGGAGCTGCCATTAATCATGAGTCTGGACATGGGTCTGATCACAACAGGCCCACGGTTGAGCATATGCCAGAGAATCCCTTCAGAATTGCAGGACATGTCCTCACTCCCGCATGGGGATTGGCTGACAATGTCATCTGTCATCACTGGGATCCTCTGTTATGCCTGACCATCCAAAGACTGAGCTCCCAAGCTTACCAGCTTCAAACACTCACCTACTCCCCACCACAGTATATAGCAAAACTGCTCAACCAGCCCACTCCTAACAATTCTGCCTAACTAATTAAAAGCAGCAAGGATGGAAACCAAAGAAACCCAACTATCTTTTCTAGGTACTCTCTTGCCCTACAGTTCCCACAATGAACCTCACTGTCCTTTGGAAACCACCTCCCAACACATGTACATCATTTCTGCCTAGCTTTTTCCCAGTGCCCCAGAGTTAACTGGCCAGCTACTTACGTTGTGAGATCCCAAAGACGAAGAGTTCCATCCCAGGAGCCCGAGAGGGCAAACTGGCCATCTGAGGAGATGACCACGTCACTAACAAAGTGGGAATGACCCCGAAGAGCACGCTGCGGGATGCCATAGTTAGTCTCATCCCTCGTCAGCTTCCACATGATGATGGTCTTATCTAGGGGAGGTAAGAGAAAAAACCCAGTGAGGAATCCCATAGCCACTTGCTGATCTACTGGATAATCCAGGATCCCTCAAGTTCATTGGTGGACATAAATCAAATTAAAGACACTCAAAGGCGGAGGAGAACCACAGGCTGAGAGCTGTTATTAGTCAAGGCCAAGTGACTGGCTATTCAAAAGAGTCAAGTAGAACTAAATAATGCCATGAAAATTAAATTCAGGGGTACAGAACTTTAGCAGATTTTGGACGCTCTTTTCTAACATTCACATCAATTCAACATCTTTTTTGAGTCTGATCTGACATCTAAAGCATAAACACTACTGCTTGGGTGTGGGAAGACTAGCTAGCTGTGAGATTCTTACAATTGCTGCTGAGGGCTGCCACAAGTGCTTAATTTGGAAAAGTTGCTTTACAAACTACCGGACTGGATGCTTTCAATGAAACATGTTAGACTCAACAAGCTTTCCAATTAAGCGCCAAACATTACCCCAGCCTCAGACTACTTTTAATAGTGTGGGGGCCAACAAAAGGAACAAGAAGCCTCCAAATGCTGCCAAGTTCAGAGAATGAAAAAACCGAGGGCAGGGGGAAAAAAGGCACGGGCCAGCAAGGTGATTGGAGTCACGACTTTCCCTTGGAGTCCATCCACTACCCACTAGGCACAGGGCCGGGCAGAAGCTCAGAAACAGCCTCTGGATCTCAGCACAGGCACTCAGATGGCATGTTGGGATCATCACCGCCCCGCCCGACCCCGCAGGCTTCTGTGCACACTCAGCCACACCTGCGAGAAGGTGGGTAAAAAATAAAAACTCCAACCCTGCAATCCTCCTGCCAGCCAC